TGATTTATATTCTTGATGTCGGATAAACAAGCCGCAGTTATCTATCGGCGAGTGACTCGATCAGCGAATGGCTACGCGATCATGAAGAAACAACACCTGTCTTCTTTCGTAGCTGGTCAAGGTAGTTTAGTTCCATGTATTTTCATGTGTTTTTCGACGAACTTTCAAGCAAGCTCTTGTGGCTTTTTTTGTTTGTTTTTGTCTTTTTTCTTTCGATGAAATTGCATTTCTAGTATTCTAAGAAATGAATTAAAACGATTTGCTTCTGGCGCCGTTCTATCCTTTGCGAAAAAAAAATCTCAGCTAGCTTCCAATTTTAAACTGACGCGTACATCGACCATATATGAAAAGCATGGTATAATAGCTCATATACCATAACGGCTAAGCCAATCAAAATGCTAGAATTGCATTATTCAATGATTCAGTTTTTTAATAAAATCAATTATACGATATGCTGAAGCTAAGGTTACGCAAAGTAATATTGATATATTCAACTACAGACGTATGGCTATTTAATTCATTGCACGGCTATAAATCAAAATGAACAACGTCTCTTTTTCTATACTAAGTTGGACAATAGACTGATTCTAAAGGACCTAGATAAAATTTAGGGGAGTGGTTTCCTTTACATTGAGGGGGAATCTTCCTGAAACGAGCACGGTCAAGTAGACTTAGATACGTTCCTACCACTACTATTTACACTAAAAATTTTATCCCAAACTACATTTTTCCTATTCTCTCAAAAAGGTTTACTGAGTCTTAAATGTTAACGATTTCAGGATGCAAAGCCGTGCTTGGTATGGAGAATGGTTTAATCTCTGATGCTCAAATAAGCGCCTCTTCAGAGTGGGATAACAATCATGGTGCAGAAAGAGCTAGATTAAATGGGAGAAGGATTAATCTGAAAAGGGGAGCCTGGAGCTCTCGTTACAATATCTTGGGTCAGTGGCTTCAGGTTGATCTTGAAAAATATACCACAGTGACAGGTCTAGCGACTCAAGGCCGGAGTGATGAGGACCAGTGGGTTACCAAGTACAGGATGCAGTACAGTGATGATGGAGTGAGCTTTTATTTGTACACAGAACCAGGAGTCGGTCCACAAAAGGTACAGAGTAAATCAGAAGTAAATAAAATTAATAAATCCGATGTTAGCGGTCGAACATCCAGAAAGGATGAGGATAGAGGTTAAAAAAAAAAAAATTGAGCAAGAGCAAGAAGCATTGAGCAAACTAAACTTGCATGAGGCGCCTCTTCGTGGACACGTTGGTGAGAAGCGAGTTCTCTCACTATTCCTGCTTCTAGTAGCAACTATATAACTATTATTTTTTCCGTTTTGCTACTAAAAATATGCATTTAAAAATCTCTTTTTTGTGGGAACAAAATGAATAATTTCTACAAACGTTTTTCGAAATACACACGAACCTGAATTTCGATCGGATTGCGATCCGAAGCACCACTTTCAAAAATGAGATGCTTTTAATAAGTACTAGGCCGTTTTTATGACGGATCGGGAAATGCTGCGATACACGCATTATGTCCTGTATAAATCTGGCTTCCTAGAATTTTTTTTTACATTCTTATTGCAAAAAATTGTGCAGTTATTTTTTACTTTAACTTTTACATTGTTTGGATAGTTGTTTGATGGAAATTATGACAGAAACACTATTGTTCACCAAAAACTGAGCTGGCCAATCAGAGCGCGCTGCATACGGATACTGCCAGAGGCTTGGACCGGACACATATCATTGAGAATGGAACTCTACGGCTGTCCAGGTATTTTGGAATAAGAGTAATCCCTCCTCTTAAGGACTTGTCGACTCACAGTCCTTACGATATAATGGGAACCGAATTCGTACACAGGCCAATAGTATTCCAGATAGAATGTCGCTAGTAAAGATATCTAGGACTGGTCGACTAGCGGTCCTTTCACTATACGTATAATGGAAACTCTGGTCGTATACCTGACAATAAAGTTGTGGCTATAATTTAAATTTCAGTCAGAAAAAAAAGAAAGGAAAGGGAGAAAGAAAATTAAGAAACTGATATTTTAATTTCTTTCAAGTCTTTCGTTTAGTCTTTCGTTTAATCCTTATCTCTATGCTATTAATGATCTTTGTTACTGGTAGCTTGTGAAGATCCTCTTGGAATGGAAAGTGAGGCAATTTCCGATTCTCAAATAAGCGCATCGTCACAGTTGGATGACGACCACTCTGCAGCACGTAGCCGATTGCACTTCAAAACAGCAAAAGGCAAAGATGGAGCATGGTCAGCTCTTAGAAGCGATGAGCACCAATGGCTTCAGGTAGATTTCCGTAGTTATACTACAGTGACACGTGTTGCGACTCAGGGAAGATACTACCACAATGAGTGGGTACTAAACTACACAATACACTACAGTGACGATGGATTGACCTTCCAAGGGTACAAAGAGCCAGAAAACAATCTCACCAAGGTAATAATCTGAAAAGAGAAGCTTTTAAGTCAATTTCGGTACGTTTCAGTGATTATGTGTTAAGGATCAAGGGTCCTCAAGATATTACTCATCGTTGTATGCGTATGAAACAAACGATAAACGAGCCCTATCAATACCAAAAATAAAGGATATTGACATCAGGGTTCGTTCACAGTCTTAAAAATCAGCGTCTTCTATATTATAGGAAATTAACTATGCACCTTGACAACGCGAAGAAAATTTACGTTTCACAAAATTGACGCGAATTTTCCAAAAGTTAGGTTTACATACATCAAGTTAAGGCGAAATTTTCGAAACAATGTGCGCCTAACTCTATTTTACCATAATTTGCTGCAATTCAAACTTCTGAACATACATATCTAAAGGGAAAAAACAGCATCATCAATACGAAGACTAGTCGAAAGACATTTTGACCTCAATTCTTAAAGATGAACTGTGACTCCGAGGCGTTGATAGAACAACTATGAGCAGATGAAGTTTTGTTATTAAAATAAAGGTGCTGTAAAACCACAATGATGATGTAAAATAGTTTGATTTAAATTAACATCGATGTAAATTAAGATGCATTAAATTAACGCGATTTTTAGATTAAAGCGATTTTTTTAAAATCGCGTTAATAAAGTGGATCGTCAATTTCATATAATAAGGTAGATGAAATACTACAATAGGAACGTAACCAGGTCACCAGTGTTTCTTTGAATAGCTACACCTCGTGTGTAGAAGAAGACCCACAAATCATGATACCAATCAAACCAAAATAACATATTAAGCACTTCAACAGTCTAGTAATGGAAACTGTAGACAAAGTACTCCGACTTTTTGCCAAGCTACTATGGACAGTAAACGACTTTTTCGAAAAATAAATAAGACTGGATGAAAAAAAGACACACCGGAAGCAAAAATGTATCTTAACCAACTTTACCGGTTTGATTTGTAGCGGCTTTCGGTCTCAACGATTATGGCTCCTATTCAGCCTAGTCCCCAGGCGTTTTCGGCTCGGTCATTTCTGGACTCTACCATGAGCTGTGACGTCACGGAGGACAACGGATCAGGAGAGAACGCCTAGGGACTAGGCTAGCTGCTATTTTTTAGTTTGTATTTAATTATCATAGCGCGCTAAAACCTCAAAACAGTACGCGTCAACTTCTACGCGAGAATGTTTTTTTATCCTCTTCAAAAGTCTTAATTGACACCAACGGAGAGTCTTAGATAGTCTTAAAAGATAAGATAAAAATATTTTTTTTAATATTTTTGTTATATTGAGACGGAAAACTTCTTCTTTAGTGAAAATATTCATTTGAACACAACCGACAATTTGAACAGAACAAGACTTTGCAAAAAGAGTAAATTGCAAACGCCATAGCGCGCGCAGATAACAACAGCCTCGTCATTCGCTCACAATCTAGCCAATCAAAAAAGAAAAAATTGAATTAATTTACTTGGCCAGATCTCGCCTTCAGCCTCGTCAGCAGGAGATCTGGGTACGAGATTATGTTTCCCTGAGGGGAGCTTGGGGAAAAGGTCTAGTGTAACCACGCCAATTGCCTTTTTGCCGTTCTCGTTGCCGTTACCGCCGCCATTGCCAAGGCTCCGTAATATTTTCCTGTAACTTTATTACTGTGAATTCTACTTGTTTTTCAGATTTTTAATGGAAACAAAGACAGCAACACTGTTGTGTACAACATTTTGAAACCTCCGATCACAGCACGTTGTATTAGAATCTTGCCGGTGGAGTGGCACAATCAAATATCATTGAGAATTGAGATTTATGGATGCCCAGGTATTCTGAAGTGTGTCTGGAAGTAACAAGTCATAACTAGGGGTTTATTTAAAAAATGCCTCCATAGCTAGATTCTGTGTGCATCCGTAAGTTAATATCGAACAAGTGTTAGGAAGAAAGTCATGTAGTCCCCATAAACCGTACTGTCGACGAGCGACTGTCTTAAGACGCCAATAAAGGCAGTTTGGTGTAGTATCGGTGCAATTTTATAGTTTATGCGGCAAAACCAAAGGAGAAGCGAACTAGAGCAGTTACGATTCGGAAGATTCGCAAGAAAGTATTAGTTGTGCAAAAAAGTGTATGAACAGGGCGAACGCGAATTGAAAGTTTCAACAATAACCTCGAAGCAAATTGTGAGAATCCAGTTAAGGGCTGTCTAAGGATAAGTACAGCAACAACAACAACAACTACTACTACTACTACTACTACAACAGCAACAACTTTATTTCCCATATGTTGTATCAAGAAATATAATTATCAACAACAATACATACAGTAGTTAGACACCCCAAACAACTATAAATCTGTTGTGCTTCTTTTTCTACATTAACGTTCGCGATTACTGAAATCAGGCGAAGCTATTTTCTTACTGTTCTTTAACGCAAGTTTTTGTTTCAATTTGTGAAACAATTAAGGCTGTATGGCACCTGTTGGAATGGAAAGCGGAGCAATCTCTGATTTCAGATAAGTGCTTCCTCACAAAAGGCTGAGAGTTATGCGGCAAATGGAGCCCGGTTGAATGCTAAGATGAGTGGAGTAAGGCAAGGAGGTTGGTCGCCTGTTACAGACGATCTCAATCAATGGCTGCAGGTGGATCTTGGTAGTTATACTAAAGTAACACGTTTGGCAACACAGGGAAGGGATGGATATGATGAGTGGGTCACCAAGTATAGGCTGCGGTACAGTGTCGATGGGGTAACGTATCACTTTTACAAAGAAAGAGGAGAAACTTCTTTTAAGGTAAGCCGACCATCCGAAAAAGGAAAAATGGCATGACAAAGGCATTTGTGAATAATAAACGATGGATTATCCATTTAACAGGTGTCCCTCTTTTCGTCAGGGGGAGGTCGAAAATCGAGGCAAACTGTTTGCACTATGCATGACTATCGCAAAATAAGAAAAAATATATAGCCTATGACGTAACCCACGTTTAGCTAATCCATTTCAAGTTGACAAGAAGATGCGCAATGCTGATCATACTGTTACACAGTAATCTATGCTTCCTTTATTTATTCACTCGTGTTAATGTTGTTCGGGCCCTAACCCGATGCCAGAGATTGCCACAACCTCTCGTAAGGCTAGACTTGAAGTGTAGCGCACTACCCAGCCAATTTTGTTGAGTTTGGATTATGGGGTGCCATGACATGCACTTTTCGCGCTCGAAAAATCTCTGTCAGAGGTCTGTAAGTATTTCATGATGGAGTATTAAACCTTATTTAGACCGGGGGAGGGGTTTAAGCCCCCATCCCCCCTGCTATTTAACTTACAGTATTTTAGGCTTCCTAAGCATCTTTTTATACGCAGATAAAATTTTCTATCACGATTTCCTCGATTTATACGGGTTTTATTATAAGTAAAATGGAATACATTTAATTAATTCAAAATGGCAGATCCAAAATAGCGGATGGTTGCAGTTTCATCCTAAATAATAAATGACGTCATCATGACATAGGCCTAGATACAAATATCGCAAAAAATGTTCTAAATTTCTTTCTAGAAATTCTCATAAAATTCCTTAATTTCTTTTGAATTTAGTCTAAATTTCTTAAAAAATCTTCTAAATTTCTCAGAAATATCATTTTTTTCTAATGTTAATTTGACCCATTTTTGGCTTTATATCAATTAAAGAAATGAAAAAAAATATATACATTATTATTTGAATAGCAAAAGATGTATATTGCAGGGCTGGTTTATTTTAAGGTATAATAAGTAAATAAAAACATCTAAGCAACTCGATTTCATCAATTTCTGTTTATTAATTAAATATTGCAATTTGCCATAAGTGCTTTGCCAGAACACGGATCCCAGAACACAGCAATAAACAGTTAAAGAGTTTATTGAATTACAACATCTTAAAAGACAGTGTTATCTGACTGTTCTGTATTTCAAACAACAACTTTTCAAACAAAGTTTTGCGTGCAACTAGGCATGTTGTTAATAACATAATAATGATCAGTCTAACAACTTAAATATATAAGTCCCCTCATACTTCTTACTTACATGTAAATAATCTCAGCGATCATTTACTCGCAGCATCAAAGAAGTTTCAATGTAATCTTCCAGCGCATCATGTTGTTGTTCACCAAACATAGTTGTAAGCATGGAAAAAGCTCTTTCAGCTGCTGCAGATGATGGCTGTACAACTACTAGCTTCTGTATCGCTGAAGACCACGCTGGTAGTTCTCGAGCTACTGACTTCCACCAGGGCCAAGAATCTGACAAAGTATCAAATTCATCAGGAATTTGAGATGCCTTCACAATGTAGGTTGGCAGTTCATCTTTCAGAGACTGAATGACTTCATTGTTGCTAAGAAAGGGGACAGCTCTGATTTGATCTACTGTTTCAGCATCTGGTTCTGACACTTTGACAAACTTCGGGCTAAAAAGCTGAGCAGCTTGGAACACTTGGATAGAACGCGAGACTGTGGCATCATTTGCTGATGTGTTGGTATAGTATTCAAAAGCTGGCATCAAGCATTCTCTAAAGCCATAGTTGTACCATCTTTGCTGTTCTGCAACATTCAGAGGAAACAGCTGCTGTACCACACCGGTAAGAGTAGGGAAGTTGCGGACTCTGATAAATGCCTGCAGCATTTGAAGCTTCTCATAGGCAATCAAAATCAATGTTCCATCACCTTCAAGGGTGTATGTAGACTTCACAAATTCCTCCATTTCCATCACTGACGCTAGCTCAATCTTAAGCTTATTTGTGTTCACATCAAATATCTGGAGTAGTCGTTGTCTTGAGGTCTTTGCAAAATCTTCATTGCTCGTTAGAAAAGTTCTGATATGCTGCCATTCTTGAAGCACTACCATTGCACACTCCCAATAACTCCACCATCTTGTAGAATTGTACCTTGGCATTAACCATCATATCAGGATAAAGCACAGACACCGTCTGCAGAGCTTTCGTGTTAACAGAAGCTCTGTCTCTCATCGCTGCTAAAAAGACTGTTCTCTTGAATATTGATTTTTCTGTGCAACACCTCGATAATTATGCGAGCTAGCTCGTCACCGTTTACAGAACTTTTTAAAAGTCTCAATCTCACAAGCCTCTGCTTTATTATCCATGATTCCACAAAACGAACCAGAACAACTAATGCTTCCCCATCTCGCGTAGTTCCATCAAATATGATGGCAACATCTTTTCCCTTCACTTCTTGGCAAATGCATTCGTATTCTTGTTCGAGGATGAAAGGAATAAGTTGTCTCATGTTCGAACTTGAAGTAAGTGGGTATCCCACCTCCTCAAATAGATCTCTGAAATATTCTGCCCTGCTCAAAGGTGTACCACTCTTCAAGAACGCTTTAACAAATTTCACCCTGAATAATCTTGTAGTAGAAGGAAGCGTTTCTCCCTTTGGATGGTTCTTATCGTCATACTTTGCAATGGCCTTTCTAATGTCGTCGTCTTTCTTGTCGTTCAGCAACCGCTTTTCTTTGTTCTCCTTGTGTTTTTTGCTTGAAATATGAACATGTATATTCTGTTTCTTCAGAGAAACTAGCTCACGACAAGCCGTGCAAAAAAGTCTCCCGTTTGCCTGTGCGGTGAATGGCTCATCTTTAAATTCTTTAGCTCTGTCTTTAGCTGAGATTGATTTTGGCTCGCTTTTCGCTGCAGTTAAATTGGGCGAACTTGACTTTGATCTTCGGTTTCCTTTTCCAGGGTTGGTTACCAATTTTCTTTTTCGAGATAAATCACTTGCAACAGGCGGTCGTAGGCGTGACAAAACTGAAATAACCTCGTCTTCTCTTCCTCTTTGTTCTTGTTCACTCGCCTGTTCAATTTCCACTTCGATAACTTCCGCCATGTTGACTGATTGATTCCACGTGGCGTCGAATTAATTGGTAGGTACTTTGTATATGGTGCATCTTATTGTACTGCAGAATAAATCTGCTGAATTGGTAGTATCGCTGGCTCGTAAAAGGACACGAAATTAATAGAAACCGTTTTTTTTTTTTTTTGTTCTTATGAAGTATCTATCACTTTTTTTTTCCTAAATCTCTCAACATTTTCTAAATTTCTCGAAAACTTCTAAATATCTCAAAAAATACCGCGATATTTGTATCTAGGCTTATCATGACATCGCTGCTATTGTTAAATATTATTCTGTGTTAGACAACTTAAAAATCTAATCAGACACCTTATATATTCTTTTTTTGCTTTATGGCCACTTAATGGGGAAAAAAATATGAAAGTTCAGTTCTGCCAATAAATTCAACAGTGGCCAAATTTATGCTACAGACGAATTATCCATCTCAAAGGGATCAGCAATACGTCTAAAAATAAATCCGGTGTTTAGGCGAATTCGTCTTTACTTGATCGTGCTGACACTCGCAAATAATTCGTCTGAAATGGATAATCCGTTCCTAAATTTATACCTGGACGGAAAACGAAGAAGTACGTAAATCTGCTCAGTTTTGACCTGAGGGCGACTGGTATCTACTCACTTACATAGACAGAAAAAGCAATCACTCGCGGCTTGAAAAAAGCTAGCTGTAAGATGTCATTGAACAAATTTTTCATGGTTATTAAATTTTTGGTATCATAATGGTTTTTGAACTATTGGTTTTTCACTGAATGTCAAGACTTAGTCAACATAATATTACGCTGAAATGTTGTTAACTGACACCACTACTCTGAAATACTGCGATCTGTTGATAAAAAGAGCTATGAAGGCAGTCATTTTGTGTCTCATTCAAGAGATCCTCAATCCTTTCGGAAAGATTTCTCTTAACTCGTCTTAAGTCGTCTCTGGGATTTATACTTAAACAAATTACTCGTCAGACGGACGATTCCGTCTGGACGGAAAATTCGTCTGTAGTATAAATTCGGCCAATATGATGTCATTGTGTCAATTGTTATTCTGTGTAATTTTAGTGGCCGGATCATTAGCGGTTTTAAAGTTATAGAAGGGGTGCCCTCCGACGCCCCCCTCCAGGTCGCACAAAGCAAAAGAAGCCCGGTCCGAATATGGTTAAAGCTATTAATACTGCTAACAAGAATCGAAGTTGTTTTGGAGTCCCGAAAGAACAATTAATGAACCTTTAACTTATGGTAGTTTAGGTTGACAGTTCTATAATATATTACGTTAACATACCGCTTGCCCAAAATAGGTGATATGAAAATGTGCTTTGTTGTCGTTGTTGCCCGGACTCTATTACGCTTCATAAAGCGGCCTAACCGGTCCCAACTATACCACTATACAATAAAAATAACATTTATCTGAATTAATTTCTCAGTCTTCATATTCCACGTTTAGACCTTTCTTTTACTTTTAGATTTTTCATGGAAACGAAAACAGCCACACCGTGGTGTATAACACATTAAACTCACCAATCACAGTTCTTTTTGTTCGGTTATTGCCGGTAGAGTGGCGCAATCACATATGCATCAGAATGGAGATCTATGGTTGTCCAGGTAACCCAAATGATATCTGCTACTTAACAATTATTCCACGAGGGCGCGTTGGATATGAGATGATAGATAGCCAACGAGGCGCGTAGCGCCGAGTTGGCTATAATCATCTCATATCCAACAAGCGCGAGTGGAATAATTGTTTTGTTAAAACGCCCACAAAAACTCGTTGAATCTCCCTACTCGAACAAACCGGAAAAGACAAGGGACTTCCGCTATTCACATGTCACACGTCTATCAAAACTGTCAACGCGCGAACGCACTCGCCTGGACTGTGTGAATGAAAAAGCAAAACATTTATTTTTAAAAACTCATGGGGATTCTAGGATTTTACACAGCAGGACAGCTAAAAAAGCTGGCAGATAATGTGAAGGAAAAGAATTTATAAGGGACAACCGTCGAAATTACTGTGAATTTGGATTTTCGGTGCAGTTACAAAAGTAAGAACAACGGAGAAAAACCATTACCTCGGTCGCTTGTTATGAAGTTGTTTGAAGCCACAAGCTGGTTTTGCTGAACGAGAAAAGGAGCTATACTGCCGCCTCGATTGCTCTAGTGAATGGCTACATAGCCTGTATTTGTAGCTGGTTACTTGTGATTTATATTCTTGATGTCGGATAAACAAGCCGCAGTTATCTATCGGCGAGTGACTCGATCAGCGAATGGCTTCGCGATCATGAAGAAACAACACCTGTCTTCTTTCGTAGCTGGTCAAGGTAGTTTAGTTCCATGTATTTTCATGTGTTTTTCGACGAACTTTCAAGCAAGCTCTTGTGGCTTTTTTTGTTTGTTTTTGTCTTTTTTCTTTCGATGAAATTGCATTTCTAGTATTCTAAGAAATGAATTAAAACGATTTGCTTCTGGCGCCGTTCTATCCTTTGCGAAAAAAAATCTCAGCTAGCTTCCAATTTTAAACTGACGCGTACATCGACCATATATGAAAAGCATGGTATAATAGCTCATATACCATAACGGCTAAGCCAATCAAAATGCTAGAATTGCATTATTCAATGATTCAGTTTTTAATAAAATCAATTATACGATATGCTGAAGCTAAGGTTACGCAAAGTAATATTGATATATTCAACTACAGACGTATGGCTATTTAATTCATTGCACGGCTATAAATCAAAATGAACAACGTCTCTTTTTCTATACTAAGTTGGACAATAGACTGATTCTAAAGGACCTAGATAAAATTTAGGGGAGTGGTTTCCTTTACATTGAGGGGGAATCTTCCTGAAACGAGCACGGTCAAGTAGACTTAGATACGTTCCTACCACTACTATTTACACTAAAAATTTTATCCCAAACTACATTTTTCCTATTCTCTCAAAAAGGTTTACTGAGTCTTAAATGTTAACGATTTCAGGATGCAAAGCCGCGCTTGGTATGGAGAATGGTTTAATCTCTGATGCTCAAATAAGCGCCTCTTCAGAGTGGGATAACAATCATGGTGCAGAAAGAGCTAGATTAAATGGGAGAAGGATTAATCTGAAAAGGGGAGCCTGGAGCTCTCGTTACAATATCTTGGGTCAGTGGCTTCAGGTTGATCTTGAAAAATATACCACAGTGACAGGTCTAGCGACTCAAGGCCGGAGTGATGAGGACCAGTGGGTTACCAAGTACAGGATGCAGTACAGTGATGATGGAGTGAGCTTTTATTTGTACACAGAACCAGGAGTCGGTCCACAAAAGGTACAGAGTAAATCAGAAGTAAATAAAATTAATAAATCCGATGTTAGCGGTCGAACATCCAGAAAGGATGAGGATAGAGGTTAAAAAGAAAAAAAATTGAGCAAGAGCAAGAAGCATTGAGCAAACTAAACTTGCATGAGGCGCCTCTTCGTGGACACGTTGGTGAGAAGCGAGTTCTCTCACTATTCCTGCTTCTAGTAGCAACTATATAACTATTATTTTTTTCCGTTTTGCTACTAAAAATATGCATTTAAAAAATCTCTTTTTTTTGTGGGAACAAAATGAATAATTTCTACAAACGTTTTTCGAAATACACACGAACCTGAATTTCGATCGGATTGCGATCCGAAGCACCACTTTCAAAAATGAGATGCTTTTAATAAGTACTAGGCCGTTTTTATGACGGATCGGGAAATGCTGCGATACACGCATTATGTCCTGTATAAATCTGGCTTCCTAGAATTTTTTTTTTTACATTCTTATTGCAAAAAATTGTGCAGTTATTTTTACTTTAACTTTTACATTGTTTGGATAGTTGTTTGATGGAAATTATGACAGAAACACTATTGTTCACCAAAAACTGAGCTGGCCAATCAGAGCGCGCTGCATACGGATACTGCCAGAGGCTTGGACCGGACACATATCATTGAGAATGGAACTCTACGGCTGTCCAGGTATTTTGGAATAAGAGTAATCCCTCCTCTTAAGGACTTGTCGACTCACAGTCCTTACGATATAATGGGAACCGAATTCGTACACAGGCCAATAGTATTCCAGATAGAATGTCGCTAGTAAAGATATCTAGGACTGGTCGACTAGCGGTCCTTTCACTATACGTATAATGGAAACTCTGGTCGTATACCTGACAATAAAGTTGTGGCTATAATTTAAATTTCAGTCAGAAAAAAAAGAAAGGAAAGGGAGAAAGAAAATTAAGAAACTGATATTTTAATTTCTTTCAAGTCTTTCGTTTAGTCTTTCGTTTAATCCTTATCTCTATGCTATTAATGATCTTTGTTACTGGTAGCTTGTGAAGATCCTCTTGGAATGGAAAGTGAGGCAATTTCCGATTCTCAAATAAGCGCATCGTCACAGTTGGATGACGACCACTCTGCAGCACGTAGCCGATTGCACTTCAAAACAGAAAAAAGCAAAGATGGAGCATGGTCAGCTCTTAGAAGCGATGAGCACCAATGGCTTCAGGTAGATTTCCGTAGTTATACTACAGTGACACGTGTTGCGACTCAGGGAAGATACTACCACAATGAGTGGGTACTAAACTACACAATACACTACAGTGACGATGGATTGACCTTCCAAGGGTACAAAGAGCCAGAAAACAATCTCACCAAGGTAATAATCTGAAAAGAGAAGCTTTTAAGTCAATTTCGGTACGTTTCAGTGATTATGTGTTAAGGATCAAGGGTCCTCAAGATATTACTCATCGTTGTATGCGTATGAAACAAACGATAAACGAGCCCTATCAATACCAAAAATAAAGGATATTGACATCAGGGTTCGTTCACAGTCTTAAAAATCAGCGTCTTCTATATTATAGGAAATTAACTATGCACCTTGACAACGCGAAGAAAATTTACGTTTCACAAAATTGACGCGAATTTTCCAAAAGTTAGGTTTACATACATCAAGTTAAGGCGAAATTTTCGAAACAATGTGCGCCTAACTCTATTTTACCATAATTTGCTGCAATTCAAACTTCTGAACATACATATCTAAAGGGAAAAAACAGCATCATCAATACGAAGACTAGTCGAAAGACATTTTGACCTCAATTCTTAAAGATGAACTGTGACTCCGAGGCGTTGATAGAACAACTATGAGCAGATGAAGTTTTGTTATTAAAATAAAGGTGCTGTAAAACCACAATGATGATGTAAAATAGTTTGATTTAAATTAACATCGATGTAAATTAAGATGCATTAAATTAACGCGATTTTTTTTAGATTAAAGCGATTTTTTTAAAATCGCGTTAATAAAGTGGATCGTCAATTTCATATAATAAGGTAGATGAAATACTACAATAGGAACGTAACCAGGTCACCAGTGTTTCTTTTGAATAGCTACACCTCGTGTGTAGAAGAAGACCCACAAATCATGATACCAATCAAACCAAAATAACATATTAAGCACTTCAACAGTCTAGTAATGGAAACTGTAGACAAAGTACTCCGACTTTTTGCCAAGCTACTATGGACAGTAAACGACTTTTTCGAAAAATAAATAAGACTGGATGAAAAAAAGACACACCGGAAGCAAAAATGTATCTTAACCAACTTTACCGGTTTGATTTGTAGCGGCTTTCGGTCTCAACGATTATGGCTCCTATTCAGCCTAGTCCCCAGGCGTTTTCGGCTCGGTCATTTCTGGACTCTACCATGAGCTGTGACGTCACGGAGGACAACGGATCAGGAGAGAACGCCTAGGGACTAGGCTAGCTGCTATTTTTAGTTTGTATTTAATTATCATAGCGCGCTAAAACCTCAAAACAGTACGCGTCAACTTCTACGCGAGAATGTTTTTTTATCCTCTTCAAAAGTCTTAATTGACACCAACGGAGAGTCTTAGATAGTCTTAAAAGATAAGATAAAAATATTTTTTTTAATATTTTTGTTATATTGAGACGGAAAACTTCTTCTTTAGTGAAAATATTCATTTGAACACAACCGACAATTTGAACAGAACAAGACTTTGCAAAAAGAGTAAATTGCAAACGCCATAGCGCGCGCAGATAACAACAGCCTCGTCATTCGCTCACAATCTAGCCAATCAAAAAAGAAAAAATTGAATTAATTTACTTGGCCAGATCTCGCCTTCAGCCTCGTCAGCAGGAGATCTGGGTACGAGATTATGTTTCCCTGAGGGGAGCTTGGGGAAAAGGTCTAGTGTAACCACGCCAATTGCCTTTTGCCGTTCTCGTTGCCGTTACCGCCGCCATTGCCAAGGCTCCGTAATATTTTCCTGTAACTTTATTACTGTGAATTCTACTTGTTTTTCAGATTTTTAATGGAAACAAAGACAGCAACACTGTTGTGTACAACATTTTGAAACCTCCGATCACAGCACGTTGTATTAGAATCTTGCCGGTGGAGTGGCACAATCAAATATCATTGAGAATTGAGATTTATGGATGCCCAGGTATTCTGAAGTGTGTCTGGAAGTAACAAGTCATAACTAGGGGTTTATTTAAAAAATGCCTCCATAGCTAGATTCTGTGTGCATCCGTAAGTTAATATCGAACAAGTGTTAGGAAGAAAGTCATGTAGTCCCCATAAACCGTACTGTCGACGAGCGACTGTCTTAAGACGCCAATAAAGGCAGTTTGGTGTAGTATCGGTGCAATTTTATAGTTTATGCGGCAAAACCAAAGGAGAAGCGAACTAGAGCAGTTACGATTCGGAAGATTCGCAAGAAAGTATTAGTTGTGCAAAAGTGTATGAACAGGGCGAACGCGAATTGAAAGTTTCCAACAATAACCTCGAAGCAAATTGTGAGAATCCAGTTAAGGGCTGTCTAAGGATAAGTACAGCAACAACAACAACAACTACTACTACTACTACTACTACAACAGCAACAACTTTATTTCCATATGTTGTATCAAGAAATATAATTATCAACAACAATACATACAGTAGTTAGACACCCCAAACAACTATAAATCTGTTGTGCTTCTTTTTCTACATTAACGTTCGCGATTACTGAAATCAGGCGAAGCTATTTTCTTACTGTTCTTTAACGCAAGTTTTTGTTTCAATTTGTGAAACAATTAAGGCTGTATGGCACCTGTTGGAATGGAAAGCGGAGCAATCTCTGATTTCCAGATAAGTGCTTCCTCACAAAAGGCTGAGAGTTATGCGGCAAATGGAGCCCGGTTGAATGCTAAGATGAGTGGAGTAAGGCAAGGAGGTTGGTCGCCTGTTACAGACGATCTCAATCAATGGCTGCAGGTGGATCTTGGTAGTTATACTAAAGTAACACGTTTGGCAACACAGGGAAGGGATGGATATGATGAGTGGGTCACCAAGTATAGGCTGCGGTACAGTGTCGATGGGGTAACGTATCACTTTTACAAAGAAAGAGGAGAAACTTCTTTTAAGGTAAGCCGACCATCCGAAAAAGGAAAAATGGCATGACAAAGGCATTTGTGAATAATAAACGATGGATTATCCATTTAACAGGTGTCCCTCTTTTCGTCAGGGGGAGGTCGAAAAACGAGGCAAACTGTTTGCACTATGCATGACTATCGCAAAATAAGAAAAAATATATAGCCTATGACGTAACCCACGTTTAGCTAATCCATTTCAAGTTGACAAGAAGATGCGCAATGCTGATCATACTGTTACACAGTAATCTATGCTTCCTTTATTTATTCACTCGTGTTAATGTTGTTCGGGCCCTAACCCGATGCCAGAGATTGCCACAACCTCTCGTAAGGCTAGACTTGAAGTGTAGCGCACTACCCAGCCAATTTTGTTGAGTTTGGATTATGGGGTGCCATGACATGCACTTTTCGCGCTCGAAAAATCTCTGTCAGAGGTCTGTAAGTATTTCATGATGGAGTATTAAACCTTATTTAGACCGGGGAGGGGTTTAAGCCCCCATCCCCCTGCTATTTAACTTACAGTATTTTAGGCTTCCTAAGCATCTTTTTTATACGCAGATAAAATTTTCTATCACGATTTCCTCGATTTATACGGGTTTTATTATAAGTAAAATGGAATACATTTAATTAATTCAAAATGGCAGATCCAAAATAGCGGATGGTTGCAGTTTCATCCTAAATAATAAATGACGTCATCATGACATAGGCCTAGATACAAATATCGCAAAAAATGTTCTAAATTTCTTTCTAGAAATTCTCATAAAATTCCTTAATTTCTTTTTGAATTTAGTCTAAATTTCTTAAAAATCTTCTAAATTTCTCAGAAATATCATTTTTTCTAATGTTAATTTGACCCATTTTTGGCTTTATATCAATTAAAGAAATGAAAAAAATATATACATTATTATTTGAATAGCAAAAGATGTATATTGCAGGGCTGGTTTATTTTAAGGTATAATAAGTAAATAAAAACATCTAAGCAACTCGATTTCATCAATTTCTGTTTATTAATTAAATATTGCAATTTGCCATAAGTGCTTTGCCAGAACACGGATCCCAGAACACAGCAATAAACAGTTAAAGAGTTTATTGAATTACAACATCTTAAAAGACAGTGTTATCTGACTGTTCTGTATTTCAAACAACAACTTTTCAAACAAAGTTTTGCGTGCAACTAGGCATGTTGTTAATAACATAATAATGATCAGTCTAACAACTTAAATATATAAGTCCCCTCATACTTCTTACTTACATGTAAATAATCTCAGCGATCATTTACTCGCAGCATCAAAGAAGTTTCAATGTAATCTTCCAGCGCATCATGTTGTTGTTCACCAAACATAGTTGTAAGCATGGAAAAAGCTCTTTCAGCTGCTGCAGATGATGGCTGTACAACTACTAGCTTCTGTATCGCTGAAGACCACGCTGGTAGTTCTCGAGCTACTGACTTCCACCAGGGCCAAGAATCTGACAAAGTATCAAATTCATCAGGAATTTGAGATGCCTTCACAATGTAGGTTGGCAGTTCATCTTTCAGAGACTGAATGACTTCATTGTTGCTAAGAAAGGGGACAGCTCTGATTTGATCTACTGTTTCAGCATCTGGTTCTGACACTTTGACAAACTTCGGGCTAAAAAGCTGAGCAGCTTGGAACACTTGGATAGAACGCGAGACTGTGGCATCATTTGCTGATGTGTTGGTATAGTATTCAAAAGCTGGCATCAAGCATTCTCTAAAGCCATAGTTGTACCATCTTTGCTGTTCTGCAACATTCAGAGGAAACAGCTGCTGTACCACACCGGTAAGAGTAGGGAAGTTGCGGACTCTGATAAATGCCTGCAGCATTTGAAGCTTCTCACAGGCAATCAAAATCAATGTTCCATCACCTTCAAGGGTGTATGTAGACTTCACAAATTCCTCCATTTCCATCACTGACGCTAGCTCAATCTTAAGCTTATTTGTGTTCACATCAAATATCTGGAGTAGTCGTTGTCTTGAGGTCTTTGCAAAATCTTCATTGCTCGTTAGAAAAGTTCTGATATGCTGCCATTCTTGAAGCACTACCATTGCACACTCCCAATAACTCCACCATCTTGTAGAATTGTACCTTGGCATTAACCATCATATCAGGATAAAGCACAGACACCGTCTGCAGAGCTTTCGTGTTAACAGAAGCTCTGTCTCTCATCGCTGCTAAAAAGACTGTTCTCTTGAATATTGATTTTTCTGTGCAACACCTCGATAATTATGCGAGCTAGCTCGTCACCGTTTACAGAACTTTTTAAAAGTCTCAATCTCACAAGCCTCTGCTTTATTGTCCATGATTCCACAAAACGAACCAGAACAACTAATGCTTCCCCATCTCGCGTAGTTCCATCAAATATGATGGCAACATCTTTTCCCTTCACTTCTTGGCAAATGCATTCGTATTCTTGTTCGAGGATGAAAGGAATAAGTTGTCTCATGTTCGAACTTGAAGTAAGTGGGTATCCCACCTACTCAAATAGATCTCTGAAATATTCTGCCCTGCTCAAAGGTGTACCACTCTTCAAGAACGCTTTAACAAATTTCACCCTGAATAATCTTGTAGTAGAAGGAAGCGTTTCTCCCTTTGGATGGTTCTTATCGTTATACTTTGCAATGGCCTTTCTAATGTCGTCGTCTTTCTTGTCGTTCAGCAACCGCTTTTCTTTGTTCTCCTTGTGTTTTTTGCTTGAAATATGAACATGTATATTCTGTTTCTTCAGAGAAACTAGCTCACGACAAGCCGTGCAAAAAAGTCCCCCGTTTGCCTGTGCGGTGAATGGCTCATCTTTAAATTCTTTAGCTCTGTCTTTAGCTGAGATTGATTTTGGCTCGCTTTTCGCTGCAGTTAAATTGGGCGAACTTGACTTTGATCTTCGGTTTCCTTTTCCAGGGTTGGTTACCAATTTTCTTTTTCGAGATAAATCACTTGCAACAGGCGGTCGTAGGCGTGACAAAACTGAAATAACCTCGTCTTCTCTTCCTCTTTGTTCTTGTTCACTCGCCTGTTCAATTTCCACTTCGATAACTTCCGCCATGTTGACTGATTGATTCCACGTGGCGTCGAATTAATTGGTAGGTACTTTGTATATGGTGCATCTTATTGTACTGCAGAATAAATCTGCTGAATTGGTAGTATCGCTGGCTCGTAAAAGGACACGAAATTAATAGAAACCGTTTTTTTTTTTGTTCTTATGAAGTATCTATCACTTTTTTTTCCTAAATCTCTCAACATTTTCTAAATTTCTCAAAAACTTCTAAATATCTCAAAAAATACCGCGATATTTGTATCTAGGCTTATCATGACATCGCTGCTATTGTTAAATATTATTCTGTGTTAGACAACTTAAAAATCTAATCAGACACCTTATATATTCTTTTTTTGCTTTATGGCCACTTAATGGGGAAAAAAATATGAAAGTTCAGTTCTGCCAATAAATTCAACAGTGGCCAAATTTATGCTACAGACGAATTATCCATCTCAAAGGGATCAGCAATACGTCTAAAAATAAATCCGGTGTTTAGGCGAATTCGTCTTTACTTGATCGTGCTGACACTCGCAAATAATTCGTCTGAAATGGATAATCCGTTCCTAAATTTATACCTGGACGGAAAACGAAGAAGTACGTAAATCTGCTCAGTTTTGACCTGAGGGCGACTGGTATCTACTCACTTACATAGACAGAAAAAGCAATCACTCGCGGCTTGAAAAAAGCTAGCTGTAAGATGTCATTGAACAAATTTTTCATGGTTATTAAATTTTTGGTATCATAATGGTTTTTGAACTATTGGTTTTTCACTGAATGTCAAGACTTAGTCAACATAATATTACGCTGAAATGTTGTTAACTGACACCACTACTCTGAAATACTGCGATCTGTTGATAAAAAAGAGCTATGAAGGCAGTCATTTTGTGTCTCATTCAAGAGATCCTCAATCCTTTTTCGGAAAGATTTCTCTTAACTCGTCTTAAGTCGTCTCTGGGATTTATACTTAAACAAATTACTCGTCAGACGGACGATTCCGTCTGGACGGAAAATTCGTCTGTAGTATAAATTCGGCCAATATGATGTCATTGTGTCAATTGTTATTCTGTGTAATTTTAGTGGCCGGATCATTAGCGGTTTTAAAGTTATAGAAGGGTGCCCTCCGACGCCCCCTCCAGGTCGCACAAAGCAAAAGAAGCCCGGTCCGAATATGGTTAAAGCTATTAATACTGCTAACAAGAATCGAAGTTGTTTTGGAGTCCCGAAAGAACAATTAATGAACCTTTAACTTATGGTAGTTTAGGTTGACAGTTCTATAATATATTACGTTAACATACCGCTTGCCCAAAATAGGTGATATGAAAATGTGCTTTGTTGTCGTTGTTGCCCGGACTCTATTACGCTTCATAAAGCGGCCTAACCGGTCCCAACTATACCACTATACAATAAAAATAACATTTATCTGAATTAATTTCTCAGTCTTCATATTCCACGTTTAGACCTTTCTTTTACTTTTAGATTTTTCATGGAAACGAAAACAGCCACACCGTGGTGTATAACACATTAAACTCACCAATCACAGTTCTTTTTGTTCGGTTATTGCCGGTAGAGTGGCGCAATCACATATGCATCAGAATGGAGATCTATGGTTGTCCAGGTAACCCAAATGATATCTGCTACTTAACAATTATTCCACGAGGGCGCGTTGGATATGAGATGATAGATAGCCAACGAGGCGCGTAGCGCCGAGTTGGCTATAATCATCTCATATCCAACAAGCGCGAGTGGAATAATTGTTTTGTTAAAAACGCCCACAAAAACTCGTTGAATCTCCCCTACTCGAACAAACCGGAAAAGACAAGGGACTTCCGCTATTCACATGTCACACGTCTATCAAAACTGTCAACGCGCGAACGCACTCGCCTGGACTGTGTGAATGAAAAAGCAAAACATTTATTTTTTAAAAACTCATGGGGATTCTAGGATTTTACACAGCAGGACAGCTAAAAAAAGCTGGCAGATAATGTGAAGGAAAAGAATTTATAAGGGACAACCGTCGAAATTACTGTGAATTTGGATTTTCGGTGCAGTTACAAAAGTAAGAACAACGGAGAAAAACCATTACCTCGGTCGCTTGTTATGAAGTTGTTTGAAGCCACAAGCTGGTTTTGCTGAACGAGAAAAGGAGCTATACTGCCGCCTCGATTGCTCTAGTGAATGGCTACATAGCCTGTATTTGTAGCTGGTTACTTGTGATTTATATTCTTGATGTCGGATAAACAAGCCGCAGTTATCTATCGGCGAGTGACTCGATCAGCGAATGGCTTCGCGATCATGAAGAAACAACACCTGTCTTCTTTCGTAGCTGGTCAAGGTAGTTTAGTTCCATGTATTTTCATGTGTTTTTCGACGAACTTTCAAGCAAGCTCTTGTGGCTTTTTTTTTGTTTGTTTTTGTCTTTTTTTTCTTTCGATGAAATTGCATTTCTAGTATTCTAAGAAATGAATTAAAACGATTTGCTTCTGGCGCCGTTCTATCCTTTGCGAAAAAAAAAAATCTCAGCTAGCTTCCAATTTTAAACTGACGCGTACATCGACCATATATGAAAAGCATGGTATAATAGCTCATATACCATAACGGCTAAGCCAATCAAAATGCTAGAATTGCATTATTCAATGATTCAGTTTTTAATAAAATCAATTATACGATATGCTGAAGCTAAGGTTACGCAAAGTAATATTGATATATTCAACTACAGACGTATGGCTATTTAATTCATTGCACGGCTATAAATCAAAATGAACAACGTCTCTTTTTCTATACTAAGTTGGACAATAGACTGATTCTAAAGGACCTAGATAAAATTTAGGGGAGTGGTTTCCTTTACATTGAGGGGAATCTTCCTGAAACGAGCACGGTCAAGTAGACTTAGATACGTTCCTACCACTACTATTTACACTAAAAATTTTATCCCAAACTACATTTTTCCTATTCTCAAAAAAAAGGTTTACTGAGTCTTAAATGTTAACGATTTCAGGATGCAAAGCCGCGCTTGGTATGGAGAATGGTTTAATCTCTGATGCTCAAATAAGCGCCTCTTCAGAGTGGGATAACAATCATGGTGCAGAAAGAGCTAGATTAAATGGGAGAAGGATTAATCTGAAAAGGGGAGCCTGGAGCTCTCGTTACAATATCTTGGGTCAGTGGCTTCAGGTTGATCTTGAAAAATATACCACAGTGACAGGTCTAGCGACTCAAGGCCGGAGTGATGAGGACCAGTGGGTTACCAAGTACAGGATGCAGTACAGTGATGATGGAGTGAGCTTTTATTTGTACACAGAACCAGGAGTCGGTCCACAAAAGGTACAGAGTAAATCAGAAGTAAATAAAATTAATAAATCCGATGTTAGCGGTCGAACATCCAGAAAGGATGAGGATAGAGGTTAAAAAGAAAAAAAATTGAGCAAGAGCAAGAAGCATTGAGCAAACTAAACTTGCATGAGGCGCCTCTTCGTGGACACGTTGGTGAGAAGCGAGTTCTCTCACTATTCCTGCTTCTAGTAGCAACTATATAACTATTATTTTTTTCCGTTTTGCTACTAAAAATATGCATTTAAAAAATCTCTTTTTTTTGTGGGAACAAAATGAATAATTTCTACAAACGTTTTTCGAAATACACACGAACCTGAATTTCGATCGGATTGCGATCCGAAGCACCACTTTCAAAAATGAGATGCTTTTAATAAGTACTAGGCCGTTTTTATGACGGATCGGGAAATGCTGCGATACACGCATTATGTCCTGTATAAATCTGGCTTCCTAGAATTTTTTTTTACATTCTTATTGCAAAAAATTGTGCAGTTATTTTTTACTTTAACTTTTACATTGTTTGGATAGTTGTTTGATGGAAATTATGACAGAAACACTATTGTTCACCAAAAACTGAGCTGGCCAATCAGAGCGCGCTGCATACGGATACTGCCAGAGGCTTGGACCGGACACATATCATTGAGAATGGAACTCTACGGCTGTCCAGGTATTTTGGAATAAGAGTAATCCCTCCTCTTAAGGACTTGTCGACTCACAGTCCTTACGATATAATGGGAACCGAATTCGTACACAGGCCAATAGTATTCCAGATAGAATGTCGCTAGTAAAGATATCTAGGACTGGTCGACTAGCGGTCCTTTCACTATACGTATAATGGAAACTCTGGTCGTATACCTGACAATAAAGTTGTGGCTATAATTTAAATTTCAGTCAGAAAAAAAAAAGAAAGGAAAGGGAGAAAGAAAATTAAGAAACTGATATTTTAATTTCTTTCAAGTCTTTCGTTTAGTCTTTCGTTTAATCCTTATCTCTATGCTATTAATGATCTTTGTTACTGGTAGCTTGTGAAGATCCTCTTGGAATGGAAAGTGAGGCATTTCCGATTCTCAAATAAGCGCATCGTCACAGTTGGATGACGACCACTCTGCAGCACGTAGCCGATTGCACTTCAAAACAGAAAAAGCAAAGATGGAGCATGGTCAGCTCTTAGAAGCGATGAGCACCAATGGCTTCAGGTAGATTTCCGTAGTTATACTACAGTGACACGTGTTGCGACTCAGGGAAGATACTACCACAATGAGTGGGTACTAAACTACACAATACACTACAGTGACGATGGATTGACCTTCCAAGGGTACAAAGAGCCAGAAAACAATCTCACCAAGGTAATAATCTGAAAAGAGAAGCTTTTAAGTCAATTTCGGTACGTTTCAGTGATTATGTGTTAAGGATCAAGGGTCCTCAAGATATTACTCATCGTTGTATGCGTATGAAAACAAACGATAAACGAGCCCTATCAATACCAAAAATAAAGGATATTGACATCAGGGTTCGTTCACAGTCTTAAAAATCAGCGTCTTCTATATTATAGGAAATTAACTATGCACCTTGACAACGCGAAGAAAATTTACGTTTCACAAAATTGACGCGAATTTTCCAAAAGTTAGGTTTACATACATCAAGTTAAGGCGAAATTTTCGAAACAATGTGCGCCTAACTCTATTTTACCATAATTTGCTGCAATTCAAACTTCTGAACATACATATCTAAAGGGAAAAAACAGCATCATCAATACGAAGACTAGTCGAAAGACATTTTGACCTCAATTCTTAAAGATGAACTGTGACTCCGAGGCGTTGATAGAACAACTATGAGCAGATGAAGTTTTGTTATTAAAATAAAGGTGCTGTAAAACTACAATGATGATGTAAAATAGTGTGATTTAAATTAACATCGATGTAAATTAAGATGCATTAAATTAACGCGATTTTTTTAAAATCGCGTTAATAAAGTGGATCGTTAATTTCATATAATAAGGTAGAGGAAATACTACAATAGGAACGTAACCAGGTCACCAGTTTTTTTTTGAATAGCTACACCTCGCGTGTAGAAGAAGACCCACAAATCATGATACCAATCAAACCAAAATAACATATTAAGCACTTCAACAGTCTAGTAGTGGAAACTGTAGACAAAGTACTCCGACTTTTTGCCAAGCTACTATGGACAGTAAACGACTTTTTCGAAAAATAAATAAGACTGGATGAAAAAAAGACACACCGGAAGCAAAAATGTATCTTAACCAACTTTACCGGTTTGATTTGTAGCGGTATTCGTATGATAATCTGGGAATTAAAATTACGCTCAAATGCACAAAAATAGGTAACTGCTAAAAACTTGAGACGTAAGTATAAGAGGGCCGAACGTTTGGTTCAACTTCAACTTCAACTTCAACTTTATTTAATTAAAAATATTGATTACAATTTGGCAATTCAGGAGAGTTCATCTTAAATGCAGTTAATAATATTTACCTCTGCTTACCTTACTTTGAAATCTTCTTTTTTAGATTTTTGACGGAAACAAAGACAGCAACACTGTTGTGTGCAACATTTTGAAACCTCCGATCACAGCACATTGTATTAGAATCTTGCCCGTGGAGTGGCACAATCAAATATCATTGAGAATTGAGATTTATGGATGCCAAGGTATTCTGAAATGTGTCCGAAAATAAAAAGTTATAACTAGGGGGGGTTATTTAAAAAAATGCCTCTATAGCTAGATTCTGTGTGCATCCGTAAGTTAATATCGAACAAGTGTGAGGAAGAAAGCCTTGTAGTCCCCGTTAACCGTACTGTCGACGAGCGACTGTCTTAACACGCCAATAAAGGCAGTTTTTTGTAGTATCGGTGCAATTTTATAGTTTAGTTCGCTTCTCCTTTGGTTTTGAGGCACAGAGCAGTTACGATTCGGAAGATTCGGAAGAAAGTATTAGTTGTGCAAAAGTGGATGAACAGGGCGAACGCGAATTGCAAGTTTCCAACGATAACCTCGAAGCAAATTTCGGACCCATTCTTTGCATTGCTCGGCACTAGTCGAACGAGCGGCCAGAATTTTAAAGCTTTAACCTAAAAGAAGCAGCGAAAAGAGGAAGCACTTTTAGTCACAGACGAACTGTAACGAGCTCTACAAATTGTAAACACATTGTGGGATATGGCCCTGAAGGAGACATGTGACGTAATTCAAAATGGCCTCCACCATGGAGTATATTGAAAATCAGATTGATGCTGATATTCGAGAGACTATTAAAACATTAGTCATGCTTGAGGTCTCAAAAATGTTATAATCACCGCGCCTTTTTGAAGGTCTAAATTTTAAAAGTTAAGGGTAAAGAGATCCGGACCGCCCAAAAAAGGAATTTTAAGAATTTTGCACAAGTTAATCTCAAAGCTTCAACCCGCAATCTGAGGGAAACAATGAAAATAGAGCACTAAGACAAGTTACCAGTATAAAATTTGGCGACTGTGCATCCTAGAGTCTACAGTGCCTTCGATGTGGTCTACTGAATGGTTTTGCTTTTGTCAGTATCTGTATTTTGCTAAGCTTCCTTGTATTATTAAATTTATACAATATCCTGTCATGCTTCTCTTCTCTGTGTCTTCACACATTCAGAAAGCGCGATTAATGTCAACAATATTGAGTTTCGATAAACTTTGAAACCTTTCAGCTGGCTAAAAAGGGTTAGCAATAATCGATTTAACTGGAAGTTCTCACGACTCTCACGACATACACGACCCGTATTTTAACCCTGGGACGTACAAGGAGGGGGGTGGTGGTGGATGCCACCCCACCCACCTTAAGGTTTTTATGACTTTTTCCCTAGAGGATAAAACATTAGCTCCTGACGGTTTCAGCAGCTGTTCGTACATCCCTCCCGCATATTTTGAGAGAAGTTTAGTGATGGTCAGTTACTTTGGTTAAGCAATTTTTGGGTGAAAATACACGTTTTTTCAAGTTCTATTCAACTTCTTTTAAAAGCAAATCTTTAAATTCTTGGTAAAATCCAAGATGGGGGCCAAGATGGCGACCATTGTTGGCGACATCGCAGGCCTCCAGCAGTGCCACCACCTATAAAATATACCTCATTTTGTTAAGAAGATCAAAGGCTTTCCACCAAAGATAAAATCGTTTCGAAATACTGTAACGTATCAAAAACTCCGGGGAGGGCCGGGGTTCCATCCATGAATTTGCGTGTACGTGTGAGGGTTAAGCAATTACAGTGTAAACACTTTGCCATTGAAATATGGGCTTGATCACTGAGTTCTGGACTACTAATTTTATCCTGATTTAACACTCAATTCGCAAGGATTTGACAAACTTCATATGAAATTAACTCGAATATAGGCTTTTTCATATACAGTTGATTAGCTGCCTTAAATTTGCCTCCTTTTTTACGTATTTTTAAAAAGCATCTCACCATTTTGTCCTCAAAATTGCTATACTTTTTGTTCAGTAATATGGGGCTTAATTAACACAGTGACAAATTTTATAGCTATTTTCACAGACTTTTTCGATCATCGTTTTCTTTATTACGCTTGGGCCATTTCACGTACATGAACTTAGAGGGTAAAACTTGTAAACTTAAGGGTAATGTTGTGAATATAGTGACTGTGTTCAAAAAGGATGGTAAGAACTATGAACTATGTTTATCTCTCCGATGAAAAACCAAAATGGAACACGAAAAATGATTAAAGGGCTGCTTTATGCCTTTCTTGGTCCTCATACCTCTGAAGGTATGGAGCTTATACCTCAGATCCACCTCAGATCTGAGGTATGGATGTTATACTTTAGACCTGAGGTATGGATACTTATTATGCCTCTGTTCTAAGGTAAGGTATGGATGTTATGCCTCAGAGCTGAGATAAGGGTATGGATGTTATACCTCAGATTTGGAATTATTTTACACCACATTTTACATTTTACACAACTTCAAGAAGTTTAAAAACCTTTTTGCTAATTTTATTTATTAATATAAAGTTAGGCGTAAAAAAAGTTAAGGGGACAAATATGTCGTTTCAGCGACGACAAGTCACCATTAGCCATTGCGAATTAACATAAACTACAAACGATAAATCTTGAAAACGAAGATGCAAAATAAAACTTAAAATAGCTAAGTGAAAAGTTTCACTGGAATGGAGTCTATTTGAGTGTTCAGAGTTTGTTTTGTTTTTCCTTGCTTGGCAAAATCTCGTAAATGAGGCACTCAAACTTTCTGATAGAATTCTTTATTTTCTTCGTTTTATATTTTTCAATATTCTTTTGTTCGTTTGTATTTAATAATCATGGTGACATGTTGTCTCGCCGAAACGCTATGTTCTTACATAGTTAGTAGAGGGAAATAAGTCGTCTCCTGCATTCGCCATCTTTAAAAGTGTATTTGGGTTTGTGCACTGTCGCGATCACGTGACAGGTACGTTCAACTTTAGAGGTGACCCTATTGTTTCGCGTTTTGAAGACTGCCGACTTTCATAATCAGTCACCTCTACGAACTATGGTTCTTATCGCGTTACTTTGATTGTCTTATTTTCAATTCTGCTTGTTAAAACTTGTTGTCTTCAGGCCTTTAAATTTCGTGCATATAAGTACGATGACAAAAAAAATTGGCAAAAAAATTGCGTTAATTCCGATTCCCCCAAATTTTGCCCACAGGAAGTTAATAGATTTACCCAGTTACCGTATTTATTCGATTAACCGCCCTGGGTGCTTATTAAATTTTTGGACCTTGAGAGTGGGCGATTATTCGAGGTGGGCGCTTATTAAATTTTCACCATTTTCAACAAGTGTAGTATGCATATTTTGCAACAAAACGATAAATGGTAATAACAAAACGCGAAGATGTAACAAAGCAACGTTTCTGCAAAACACTCTGAAGAAAACTCCGTCTTCGGGGAAGTCTCTTGTTCGTACTTATTCCTTTTTAGGTGGGTGGGCGCTTATTTAAGTTTCTGTGGGAGTGGGAGGGAGGTGGGGTGGGGGTGTTGCTTATTCGAGGCTAGGCGCTTATTAAATTTTTCTGCCTTCAGGATGGGCGCTTATTCGAGGTGGGCGCTAATTCGA